TATATTAACGGCGGGCATATGTCGAAATATCTTTTGATTATCCTAGACGCCTACGGCGAATCACCGCCGCCCCCTGCCTTTTTGGAAGTGCCTATGTGGGCGAACGTTGGGGCCAGACCTGCCAAGGTGTCGGACCTGATGTTCCCCGCATCGGTTTGGAAAGCCTTCGGGGAACACGTGGGCATATTGAAGGTCATCTTGGCCGCCTGGAGGCCATTTTGACCCTGTCGGGCCTTCTTGGAGGACGTCTTGGAGGGCTCGTGGGCCGTCTTGGAGGCCATCTTGAGCGTCTTGGAGGCCTCTTGGGCCGTCTTGGGGGCCTCCTGGGGCCGTCTTGGGCCTCTTGAGCGATCTTTGGGGGCACTGGGGCCGTCTCGGACCGTCGGAAGGCCGAAAAAAGCAAATGCCACAATCCTTAAACAACTCATGGGAAATCAATGATTTGGGCCTTTTCGGCTTTCCTGGAGGCCCTCTTGGAGGCCCCTTGGGCCGTCTTGGGCCATCTTAGTGCCATATTCGGCCGTCTTGGTGGGCCCCTGGCCCGTCCGACGCCGTCGGAAGCCGTTTGGGGGGCCTCTCTGAGCCGACTGAGGGCCCTCTTGGAATGCTCCAGGGTCGTCCTGGAGGCCATCTTGGGCATCTTAAAAGCCTCCTGGGCCGTCTTGGGGGCCTCTTGGGGCCGTCTTGGGGGCCTCTTGGGCCGTTCTGGAGCCATCTTGGAGGCATCTTGGGCGATCTTTGGGGGCTCTTGAGCCGTCTCGGTCCGTCGGAAGGCCGAAAAGAAGCAAGTGTCAAAATCCTTCAAAAACCTATGGACAATCAGTGTTTGTGGCCTTTTCTGGCCTTCCTGGAGGCCCTCTTGGAGGCCTCTTAGGCCGTATTGGGCCAGCTTCGAGCCAACTTCGGCCATCTTGGTGGGCTCCTGGCCCGTCTGACGCCGTCGGGAGCCGTCTTGGGGGCCTCTCTGAACCGACTTGGGGTCCTCTTGGGGCGCTTCGGGGCCGTCTTGGAGGCAATCTTGGGTGTCTTGGAGGTCTCTTGGGCCGTCTTGGGGCCCTCTTGGGGCCGTCTTGGAGGCCTCTTGGGCCGTCGTGGGGCCCTCTTGGAGGCCTCGTGGGCGATCTTGGGGCGATCTTGGCGGCCTCTTGGGACGTCTTGAGCCGTTAGAATTCCGAGAAGCGGCGAATCAATGATTTTGGGCTCTTCGGGTCCTCCTGGAGGGCCTCTTGGAGGCCTCTTGGGTCGTGTTGGGCCGTCTTGGAGGCTTCTTGGGCGAACTTGGAGGTATCTTGGACTCTCTTGGGCCGTCTTGGACCATCTTGGGCGAACTTGGAGCCCATCTTGGACTATTTTGGAGGCCATCTTGGGCCAACGTGGCCATCTTGAAGGCCATCTTGAGCCGTCTTGGCGGACTTTTTGTCGACGCTGAGGTGGTTTACGCGGCCTTCCGGGACCCCGGCAGAACGCGCCGAAGCCCCAGGGGGAGTTCGTTTGGAAAAAAGAACCAAAACCACAACCGAAAGGATTCAGCACGCCAGGCACCCCTGCGATGAAACGACAGGGGGCGGCGGATCGAATGGCCTTTAGCACATCCCGCCCTCGTGCCTGGACTGCGGGTGTGAGGCCACGCGGATTCGGGCCTCTCGGAGCTCCTTGGGAGCGTGTTAGGGGATTCTTGGGGCAGCCAGGGGGCGGTTTGGGGTCGAAGGTTTGAGATGTTCGTTCAGGCTCCCCCTCTGGGCCCCCTCTTAGTACTGTCCTGGAGCCCCCTGGGCCGTCTTGAGGACTTCTTCAGTGGCCTTGGGCCCTCTTGGGCCGTCTGAGAGCCCCGTTGGGGGCCTCTTCGGCAGTCTTAGAGCGATCCTGGAGGCTTTTTGGGCTGTCTTGGACGCTGCGAACGCACAAAAATCGGACTGCTGAAAATACGCGCTTTCCGATGGGAATGGGGCGATTGTTGCTTCTTGAGGCCGTTTTGGGACGCTTCTTGGTTTCTTGGGGCGTCTTGGGGGTCTCTTGGGCCGTCGGCGGGACAGCGCGGGCGTTCTCGATCGGCTCGTGACCCTTTTGGATCGCCCAGAGGGTCTCTTTGCGTATTCTTGACATGTTTTTTGCATGTTTTTTGAACGGTCGTGGGGCCCTCTTGGATCCTCTGAGAGTCCTCTTGTGGGCCTCTTGGGCCGTGTTGGTGCGACCCAGGAGGTTTCCTGGGCTGTCTTGGACGTTGCGATCGCAGAAGAGGCGACTGTGCTGAAAAATCAAGGTTTTCCAATGGAAATGGGGCGATTGTTGTTCTTCGAGGCCGTCTTGGGGCGCCTCTTGAGGGTTTCTTGGGGCGTCCTTGGGGGCCTCTTGGGTCGTCTGGGGGCCAGCGTGGGCGCTTTCGATAGATTTTTCGGCGGCTCGTGGCCCACTTTGAGCGCCCAGAGGGCCTTTGGGTGCCCTCTTGGCCTGTTTTTGGGGAGGTTTTTCGAGCGGTCTTGGGGCCCCCTTGGGTCGTCTGAGAGCCCTCTTGGGGGCCTGTTGGGTCGTCTAAGAGCCCTCTTGCCTGTTGGGCCGCCTTGGGGCGACCCAGGAGGCTGCCTGGGCTGTCTTGGACGTGGTGATCGCAGAAGAGGCGGATGTGCTGAAACACGCACATTTTCCTTTTGCGGAATGGGACTACTGTTGCTTTTCGAGGCAGTTTTGGGGCGCTTCTTGAGGGTTTCTTGGAGCGTCTTGAGGGCCTCTTGGGCCGTCTGGAGGTCAGCGTGGGCGTTTTCGATTCATCTATCGGCGGCTCGTGGTCCTCTTGGACTGTCCAGAGGACTTCTTGGTGCCCTCTTGGCTTGTTTTTGGGCCCTCTGCCCCCCCGTGACGCGTTCCGCCGGTTCCCGGGTGACCCCCCTCCAAATCGACCAGACCGGGCTCCTAGCGGAGGGGTTTGGGGAGAGGGAGACATCTCACACGCCGATTCAAGGGGTCGGCAGATTCGTCGGAGGTCTAGGCTGATTTTTTGGATCTGCGCTGGAACCCCATCCCTGTTACGCGGAGCGCGCCAGGGGCGGCGCCGGAGGCTAGGGGGATCCATCGCCGATCCAATAAATTCTCGCGAACCTCCAACGAACGGTTTATGTTTATGGCATCGCTTGCCCCTCGAAGCAGCGATTCGGAGACTCGTGATTCTAGTTATTCCCTTTGGGGTCGTCCTGATTAGCCTTCAGTCGGGCATGTCCCTCTACAGGACGAAAGTTCAATAATTGGCAAACAATAGTCTGGGGGCGATGTTCGACTGTTTTGACTGATGTTTGTATGTTTTGCTTGTTTGTTATCTTGTCTTTCAAAATCCGCCTGTGGGAGGACATGCCCGACCTAAGATTAGCCTGACCCCCTCCCCCTCGTGGGGCGAGTCCCCGCGGCGCGCCGAGCGGCGGCGGCGCGTCCAGAAGCTCCTCGCGCTCGCGAGCACGGGAATCTTGAAAGGCGTCGCCCCGTCCCCTCTTCTTCCCTCCTTCGCCCTACCTTCGCCCTCCTCCTCCTCCCCCTCGTCCTCCTCGTCCTCCTTCTCCTCCTCCGCCTCCTCCTCCCCCTCCTCCTGCTCCTCCTCCTCCTCCTCCTCCTCCTCCTACCCCTCCTCCTCCTCCTCCTCCTCCTCCTCCTCCCTCCTCCTCCTCCTCATCTCCTCCCTCCTCCTCTCCTCCTCCTCCTCCCTCCTCCTCCTCCTCCTCCTCCTCCCCTCCTCCTCACCGTCCTCCCCCTCCCCTCCTCCCTCCCCCCTCCTCCTCCTCCTCCTCTCCTCCCCTCCCCCTCCCCCTCCCCCTCCCCCTCCTCCTCCTCCTCCTCCTCCTCCTCCTTCTCCTCCTCCTCCTCCTCCTCCTCCTCCTCCTCCTCCTCCTCCTCTCCTCCTCCTCCTCCTCCTCCTCCTCCTCCTCCTCCCTCCTCGGCGTTCCTTCCTGTCCTTTCTCCGCGCGCACGGAAGGAACAGGATGCTGCACCCCCTCGGGGGATGGGGAGAAGGAGGAAGGCCCGCAGCGACCAAGACGCCCGGCACTGCCGCGCGACGAGGGAAGAGAAGCGTGAGCAGCAGGAGGGGGGCGAACAGCCTTCGAACTGCAACGCCCGCGCGGCCGCGGCACCGGCCGGGCGGACGGGGGCCGAGGGCGCAGGTCCTGGGCCGCTTGCGGCGAGCGACGCGCCGGGGGCGGACTTCCACGCATGACGCCCAAGGTGGTTCTACTAGCAACGTGCCTACTCGCACAAGCGGCCCCCAAAGCACATGTCTGCATCGATGTGATGTATCGTAGATATCCCGTGGCGGATCTCCTCCTCCTCCTCGTCTCACTCCTCCTCCTCCTCCTCCTCCTCCTCCTCCTCCTCCTCCTCCTCCTCCTCCTCCTCCTCCTCCCCCTGGCGTTCCTTCCTGTCCTTTCTCCGCGCGCACGGAAGGAACAGGATGCTGCACCCCCTCGGGGGATGGGGAGAAGGAGGAAGGCCCGCAGCGACCAAGACGCCCGGCACTGCCGCGCGACGAGGGAAGAGAAGCGTGAGCAGCAGGAGGGGGGCGAACAGCCTTCGAACTGCAACGCCCGCGCGGCCGCGGCACCGGCCGGGCGGACGGGGGCCGAGGGCGCAGGTCCTGGGCCGCTTGCGGCGAGCGACGCGCCGGGGGCGGACTTCCACGCATGACGCCCAAGGTGGTTCTACTAGCAACGTGCCTACTCGCACAAGCGGCCCCCAAAGCACATGTCTGCATCGATGTGATGTATCGTAGATATCCCGTGGCGGATCCAGGCCGTCTGCGAGCAGTTACTTTCTGCGAGCAGTGGAACGCGCTCGTCTCACGAAGAGAGCCCGGCCCAGAGGCCCACAGAGCCCCCCTCCTCCTCCTCCTCCTCCTCCTCCTCCTCCCTCCCCTCTCCTCCTCCTCCTCCTCCTCCTCCTCCTCCTCCTCCCCTCCTCCTCCCTCCCTCCTCCTCCACCCCTCCGCGGGGCCCCCTTCCCGCCGCGGTGCCCCCCCCCGCCAGGTGCAGCGCGAGGTGGAGCGCGCCCGCCTCGAGGCGGAGAAGGAGCGGCCCCCCCCCCCGCGGCCACCGCCCGCGCCCCGTGCGCGGCGCAGCAGGCCGTTTCTCTCTCTCTCTCTCTCTCTCGGCAGCAGCGGCGGGGCTCCCTCCCTCCATCCCTCCTCCCAGGCCTCCCCTCCCTCCTCCCTCCTCTCCCTCCCTCCCTCCTCCTCCCTCCTCCCATCCTCCCTATCCCCCGCCCCTTCCTCCCCCCCTCCCTCCTCCCGCCTTCTTTCGTCTCTCGCTCCCCCTCCTCCTCCTCCCCTCCTCCCCTCCCAGGCTCCCTCCCTCCTCCCCATCCTCCTCCCCTCCCGCCTCTCTCCTCCCTCGCTCCCTCCCTCCTCTTCCCTCTCTCCTCCTCTTTCCCTGAGGTGCCCGCCAGCTCCAGTGGTGGCACAGTTTGGCTTGAGGTTCCCCCGAGCCCGCCCCACCCCGCCTTGGGGCGGTGCCTCGGCCCAGCACCCACCGCTGCTGTGCTGAGGGGGCGGTGGTCGTTCGCCCGTGGAGCGGTGCGAGCGGTCGGCGTCTCGCGGTGCGTGCGAGTGTCCCGGGATCTGTGGTTGTCAGAAGGTCCTCAGAGTGTCCTCGCTTCTCTCTCTCTCTCTCTCGGCCTCCTCTCCTCCCTCCCCGTCGCCCTTCATGCTCCCTCCAACCACACGGGCGGCCTTCCGGTTTTGGGTCGGGTCCCGTCGGCTGGCCCTTGGCCCTTGACCTCTCTTCTTGCAGGGTGCGTGCCGGCCATCCGCATCCTCCTCCCCCGCCACGTGGGGCTGGGGTTAAGTCGGGCCTGTCCCTCTACAGGAGGAACATTCAAAAACAGTCAAAGAATAGTCGGGGGACAATTGGTCTGCCATTTTCAGCCATTCGGGTGCGTTTGCTTGGCTACTTTCTTGGTTGGTCGTCCAAAGCCCCTCTGTAAGGGGGACGGGCCCGGCCCGTGGCATGGTTGGGAGGCAGGAGGCTGCCGGACTGCCCTGGAGCAGGCGCCCGGCGCCTCTGGCACAGAAGGGCTTCACGGGGGCAGCCTCGAGCACGGCTGCGGGCTCGTGCCACGGGACGGGCCTCCCCTGCGCGCTTCGGCATGCCGAGGCAGGAGGCGTTCGTCCTCTCCTGCTTGTCTTCCTCCCTCGGGCATAAAAGGCCACACGGGGACATCCTCGAGCACGGCTCCAGGCTCGTGCCGTGAACGAGCCTCCCGCGTGATTCGGCATGATGAGGCAGGAGTCAAGCAGCGGCGAAGCGTCCTGGCTCGCCTATGGGCCTACCAAAGAATGTTCTAAGAACCTTTTGTGGCTTCAACGGGATGTTCTAAGAACATGCCTGGTTGGGACTGTTTTGGTTTAACACATCGGGTTTATGTTCTGAGAACATTGTTTTTGTTCTTGAAACTTTTGGGGGTTCTAAGAACATGTGGTCGGGACCGGCAACTCTGGCAATTCCTGGTCAAATTCCGTTCTAACGCCGCTTTTTCTCTCCTGGCCCAGACCCCCCGGCGCCGTAAAAGAACATCCTCTATAACTCTGGAATTTCCTTCTCAAATTCCATTCGAACTCCTTTTCTCCTTCCTGGCCCTGGCGCTTCTCGGGCAATTCTGACTCGACTGTCTCTGAGATTCAGAATTCCCTCTGGAATTTGAAATTCCTCTCAAACTCTGGAAATTCCTGATCACATTCCTTTCTGACTCCTTTTTCCTTCCTGGCCCTGGCGCTTCTCAGGCAATTATGATACAATTGTCTCTGGGTTGCAGAATTACCCCTGGTATTCGAAATTCCTTTCTAACTCTGAAATATCCTTATCGAATTCCTTTCTGACTCCTTTTCTCCTTCCTGGCCCTGGCGCTTCTCGGGCAATTCTGCTTCGATTGTCTCTGAGATGTGAAATTACCCCTGGTATTCGAAATTCCTTTCTAACTCTGGCAAGTCCTTATCACATTCTTTTCTAACTCCTTTTTCCTTCCTGGCCCCGGCGCTTCTCGGGCAATTCTGATTCGATTGTCTCTGAGATGCAGAATTACCCCTGGCATTCGAAATTCTTCTCTAACTCTGGAAAGTCCTTATCAAATTCCTTTCTAACTCCTTTTTCCTTCCTGGCCCTGGCTTGCACTCCCCTGGGGGGCTGCAAATGCGCGCGGCCGCAGAACCAGGGCTCCCGCAGTACAGATTGAGGCAAACTGTTGCCAACAGATTGCAAAACGTAGCACCGTGAAAAACAAAATGGCCAAATCTGTGTATGTCAATTTCGTATGCTCGATTTCGCGAACGGCGCGATCGTCACCTGGTGGCTGAACGTACTTGCAATGTTCGGACCCGGCGCTCATGGGGCCCGTGAGCAGGGGCTTGTGCGACTCCAGGCAATTTTCTGCGCTATATTGCAGGCGCGCGAAAATAAATGCCGTCGATGAGCCAATCTTGATGTTGGTGGGGCGCGCGCCGCGTTTTCGATTGGCCAGGGCGGTCGCTACAGCGAGGTTCTCGTTCGAGACCCCCTTGGGTGAAGCCTGCGACACTGCGGGCGGGCTCTGGTGAGCCTTAGCGTCGCTGCTTGTCCTAACACACAAAGGGGGCACGTTGCCCCGCGCTCCCCCGCGAGGAAGCCCGGGCGCGGCTGGGGAGCGCTGCGGGGCAACCCAAGTGCCCATATGGCGCGTCGCGCAGCCACCCACGCCATGCTTTGTAGTAGTTGCTCCGCCGACGCCCCACATGCAAACCATTCCAGGTTAGCCAGGGAGCCCCACCGAACGAAGCAATAATGGGAGGTGCTGGGGGTGCGACCCGCGTAAGCAGCGCAGCGGGAAAAGTCTTTTGCGCGCGATCGCTCACTGCTTGCTCGTCCTGGGGTCGACCGCCGCAACGGGGGGAGGCGCACGGGGCACGCGTGCGCAAGGGCACATTTGGCTGCGGTTGCGAAGCTGCCCTTTTTCGGGCCTTGTCCTTGAAGTGCGATGGGGCGCCCAGGGTTTTATCAATGACGCGCCCGCGCATTTTTGATGCCCCCGCGGCGGTTGGGCCACATTGCTTCGCAGTTGGCATGGCGAAGATGGGCGTGTAAACTTGCGGCCGCAGGCCATGTGAAATCTACATGCCGGCCCTAGCTGTCGCGTATTCCAAGGCCTGCCTGTAGGTCCCACCGCCCGCCGAATGCGATGGGGGTTGGCAGACCCCCTTCCCCTGACCTGCGATGCGTTGTTTACAAACGGATTAGCATGACCAGTAGGCCCTATCCCGATCACACCAAAATCTCATCACACACGTCGTTATCAGCAGTCCCCCCCCGTGTTCTCTTCCTCATCATCCCTGCGCGCCTTTCTCATCATGCCCTCCTCTTCATTCTTGTCGTTCCGCACAGCTCTGGCGTGAGAGGAGCCATCCACTGGGAAGGCAGCCGCGTCCGAATGAGTCGGTTGCTGGCCTGGGAGCACCCGTTGTTGATTCGCGGTTGTTTCCTCCTTTCCCACGCCCCTGGAACTCTCGCTCTCCCTCCTCATTCCCTTCTGTCTCTCCCCCGTCCCCGCATGACCTCGCCTTCCCTCCTCTCCGAAGTCCACGGTCGGAACTATTGGCATTCGGCTTGCCCCTCCCAGGCTGCCAGCATCCGGCCTTTCGAAGGCCTCTTGGGGCCTCTTGGGAGGAGTACCCGAAGACACTTGGAGGCCTCTTTTCGGCTTTTCGGGGGACCTCTGGGGCCTCTTGCAGCCTCTTGGGCTTGGACGCCTCCTGGGAACATCAGGAGGCATCTTCGGCTTTTCTTGCGCGCCTTCTGGCGCTATCGTGTATCATTTTGGGATGGATCGGCCTCCACGTGTCATGCCAAGCTCCCTCTATTGAGCCTCTCATGAAGCCGCTTCGGGGGCATCTTGGTCCTCTCTTGGACTCAGGGCCCGTCTTGCAGCCGTCTTCGGAGTCTCTTGGGCCGTCTTGGACGTCCGCAAGACCCATGAATCGACAGTGTTACAACTACGCGCAAATTCTCAAGGGCTGTGGGCGACATTGGTTTCTTTTGCCGACCCCAAGGGCCCCCCATATGCCCCACTTGAATCCCAAGAGAGGCCCGTGACGGACCTGAGGGCCATCTGGCATTCTTGAAGTTTGGACCCCGAGCCGCGCTCCCAAGGCCTTTGGTAAAGTCACGCGGCTGTCCCCACTGGCGCCCGCGAGCGCCAAGAAACAGCCAGGAATTCTTGGAATCTGGGGCATGGGGCCTTTCAGAGGTATTCCCCGCGCATTTCATGGACAGAGCTCGAAGGGACTTGTGAACAGTCCGCTTAATTTCTGCGTTGTGGTGGCATAGCCGTTGGTCGGTGTCAGCCTCCAATGGTGCCGTGGGGGCACTCGTTGCGCGGCCGCACAGCAGCGCACGAGTACGGGAACAGAGAGCGATGCCTGGATAGATTTAGCTGGGCGCGGATGCGAGGGAGGACCCAGAGGTGGAGAAGGGGGTGGAGGAGGATGAGGAAGAGTGCGATGAGGAGGGGGTGGTAATTGGGACAAAGGTGGATGAGGACTGGAGGGAGACACAACGAATACGGTCGATTGCGATTGGGTAGTCGTTGCATTTCCTGAGTCTCTAATTCCTTGCCACTGCAGAGCCGAATCCGAGATCGGGCGCCCATGAGTTTGAGGGCAGGGCGCATTGTAAGTCTGATGAGGGTTGGTGGGTGGAGGGATCAGGGGGATAATGACAGCACGACGGTAGAAAGCCATTGAATGGTGATGTGTCGACCGAGGGCACAAACATGAGGGCGGCTGCTGAATTCTTGACGCTTCGCGCGTCCCCACCAGCCGATCCACAAACGAGGCACAGGCGAGTTGAGGTGATAGGGACCTGTAGGAGCAAAGAGGGGGACAGCCGAACCGTTCGAAGGAGGATGAGGAGGAGGAGGAGGAGGATGGATGGATGGATGGATGGATGGATGAAGGAGGAGGGAGAATGATGACGAATCATATGCTGACGATGATGATGATGCTGATGATGATGATGATGCTGATGATGGTGATGATGATGCTGAT